GTGACCCAGGTCGCTCCTGTGGGGCTCCAGGGGGGTTTCCCGGGGAATGCTGTTCCCAGCTGTGCATTCCCACCGCGGCTCCCTGGCAGCAATTCCCAAGTATCCCCCTGCTTTGTGGGGTGGTGCCGTGTGGAGTGCTGGAGTTCTGTCACCACAGGTGATTGATTCGTCATCCTCAACGGGAGATTGTTGTTGCCACCACAAAATGAGGATGATTGAGGATAATTTAACCGTGTCTCACTGTTGAGCAACACGGGAAGAGTTTTCCCTCTTCTCCCTCTTGTTTGGACCTGGCTGTCACAGAATCTCTCAGGAATCCTGCGAGAAGGGAGAGTTGAGCACTGGGAGAGCCCTCACAGAGCTTTTTTCTCCCCATCCTCGCTCTGGATGGAGCTGGAGGTTTCTGCACGGGGCGGGCAGTGGATTGGCTTTCCCAGGGCTGACATTGGGGTGTCCCTGCTGTCCCCTCCACCCCACAGCTGTCAAGATCAAGAAGAACAAGGACAATGTGAAGTTCAAGGTGCGCTGCAGCCGGTACCTCTACACCCTGGTCATCACCGACAAGGAGAAGGCTGAGAAGCTGAAGCAGTCCCTGCCCCCAGGTATCCTGGGAGTCTCCTGTTGGGTTGGGATTGAGGAGTCCCTTCCCTGTGGAAGGGTCCCTGGAATTGGTGTCACCACCAGTGCCTGGCCTGGGTCACTGCGTGGTGTTCCCCCGGGGCTGGAGGGCTCCAGGCACCCCTGCTGTGCCTGAGCCCCCCCCAAAGTCCATGTCCTCTCTCTCCTCCCCAGGTCTGGCCGTGAAGGAGCTGAAATGAGCCGGGACCAGCTGTGTACCTGTTGGATTCTCTGTGTTTGTTAAAAGAAATAAAAAACTGTTCCTGGTGTCACGTTTGCTGTTTCACAACTTGCTGTTCCTGGCCCTGGAGCCACTCTGGGCGTCCTGGGGCTGATGTTGCTCCCAGCAGAGGGGCGCAGGGGCCGGTTCTGGTACCTGTGGGCACGGGGGAGTCACCAGAGCTGGGGCCACCATTGTTGTGGTGGCGCTGGGGCGGCAGCTGGGGAGGGGGCCAGCGGGACCTGGGGCTGGCCCGCAGGGTGTCCTCTGCGCGGTGTCCTCCGCAGCAGGGCTGCAGGTGCTGTACTGCCCCTACAGCAGGGGGTTGGGGCGCGGTGTCGCCGTGCGGGGCTGTCACCGTGCGGGGCTGTCACCGTGCGGGGCAGTCGCGGTGCGGGGCTGTCGCCGTGCGGGGCTGTCACCGTGCGGGGCTGTCACCGTGCGGGGCAGTCGCGGTCCGGGGCTGTCGCCGTGCGGGGCTGTCGCCGTGCGGGGCTGTCACCGTGCGGGGCTGTCGCCGTGCGGGGTTGTCACCGTGCGGGGCTGTCACCGTGCGGGGCTGTCACCGTGCGGGGCAGTCGCGGTCCGGGGCTGTCACCGTGCGGGGCTGTCGCCGTGCGGGGCTGTCGCCGTGCGGGGCAGTCGCGGCGCGCTGTCCCTGCCGGGCGGGCGGGGCGGGGCGCGGGGCGGTGCCGGTGGGCGGCTCCCGGGGCGTGTCCGGGGCGGGCGGGCAGAGCCCGCGGCGTGGCGGCACCGCCGCCCCCCGCCCGGCAGCGCGGCGACCCCGGCCCGCCATGGGGCCCGGCCGCGCCGATTACCTGGCGCCCTGGTGGGCGGCCTGGCTGCACGGGCTCCCGCACCGCGGCCCGCGCCTGCAGCCCGTGCCCAGCGCCTTCCGCCCGCAGGACCCCGACTACCAGCAGGTACCGGACGGGACCCCCGCGCCCCCCGCGCCCCCCGCGCCGCGTCCCGCTCGCCCCGCGCCCCCCGCGCCGCTCGCCGCCCTCTCCCTTTGTGCGCTCTGATCTCTCGGCGCACAAAGCGCCTTTCATCGCCCGGCCCCCCCCGGGCGCCCGGCACCGGCACCCCGGCCCCGCCGCTGCCCTCCCGGCCTCACCGCCCCCTCCGCTGCTCCTCAGCCCCCGCCTGCCCCCGGAGCGGCCGCGGGCATCCCGGGGCACGGCCCGCCGTGACCCTGCGTGCGGAGGGGGCGCAGCGCCGCGGTCCCGGTGCCCACCGTCCCGGCAAGGGGCGGCTGCACCGCCGGCTCGGGCACCGCGGCCTGGGGGCCCTGCGTGGGAATGGGGACGGGGACGGGGACAGGGACGGGGACGGGGACGGGGACGGGGACAGGGACGGGGACGCTTCTTCCTCTTCCTCATGTGACAGTCCCGTGGGGCGCGGAACGCGGCCGCATCCCAGCCACGCGAGCGGGTCACGGGCACGGCTGCTGATTGTCCCCTCTCTCCTGCCAGTCGCTGCTTTTCCTGGGCTTGGTGGCCGCCGTGTGCCTCGGCCTCAACCTCCTCTTCCTCACCGTGTACCTGATCTGCCTGTGCTGCTGCAAGAGGGACCAGGACCCCGAGACCAAGCGGCCCCACTCGTGTTGTGTCACCTGGATGGCCGTCACCGCCGGGCTCATCTGCTGGTGAGGACGGGGACAGGGACCTGCTGCTGTCCCCCTGTCACAGAGGGGACTCTGCGCTCCAGCCACGAGCCGCTTTAATTAGATCTGTGCAGTAAATGTGCTCCATCCCTGCCTCCTCCCGTGCAGCTGCTGGGGCAGCCCCAGGGAGCAGCTGCGGGCCAGCTCCAGCCCCGTGTCCCTGTCACGGCTGTGCCGCCTTCCCGGCTAATCCCGGGCGGGAGCGCGGCCGGTCGCTAATCCCAGCCCAGAGCAGATGGCGGGCGGCAGCGTGACCCAGCTGGCAGCTCCCCTGTGCCCGACCTTAATTGCAACCACAACAATTAGACAACGGGACGCTTCTTCACCCAGCGCCGCTCTGGGGCTTTCCAAGCCCACCTCGGCTTGGGGCGGCCGTGGCTGGGAGGATCCCCAGGGCGGCCATCCCGAATGTCCCCCGGCGTGGCCAGCCTGGGGGGGAGCAGGATGGGCCGTGAGCCCCTTCGGCTGCCTGGCCACGACCCTCGCTCCAGACAAAGGGAGCTGTGCTGGGGCGGAGCGTGATGGCTGCCTGCGAGCCTCGCAGGGAGCAGGGAAACAGGGAGA